CTGAGAACAGACATCGTGAAGACTTTGTCCTAAGGTACACCAGGACCGCTGCAATTAGGGTTCAACTGTGCAGCACCCAAATAGAACCTGAATCCGCCCGGATCGGATTCCAATTGATTTCCAGACAGATATTCACCTCGAGGGCGTTTGTCTCATTTATCGCTTTAACATCAGAGCACGGCATGATCTCTTTTAATTCAGTGGACTGGAATTACATCAAGCGCTTGAGCTTTGCAACTTTAGTAGTCGTGATTAGATCCCAGTGGTGGGGGGAGGGTGTGGTGTACTGTTAGCTATTGGCTGCCCATTAAAAATGGAACATGCCTTCTTAATTACCGACTGCCACTTTTGGCAATTATGGGGCAGCACTCTGGTGTCACTGCCTCCTTTTATCCCCCCCAACCCCCCGTATGACTAGCTTCTTTATCTTCCTTTGCATCTAACTTACACGTACGTCCTTCTCCAGAACCCTCTGTCTTTCTCGGTTGACTGCAATAAGACACTGGCCGTGCAGTTTGTGTTGGCTCCCCTTTCCCTCAAGTCCGGCTCAGCCGCAATTATTTCCTGTGGTTCACAGTGGTGGGTCACTGCCATCCGCCAAAGGTACTTACGGCTGAAATTACACACACACAAAGTGTGTTTTCCACCCAGATACAACCTCCACAGGTCCATTATCCCCAGCTCCATTCATAGGCTAAGTTGAAAATGGGGCCTAATTACAAATCCAGACATCCAAAACCAACCAGCGCAGAAAGACTGAAAGAGAAAAGAAGAAGCTCCAGGAAAATGCAAATGGTTTTAGTGAGTGACATTACAGAGAGTGTGTAGCCTCCAGTGCTGTGTCTTTACTGTGTTGTCAAGAGGTGGGATTAATCAGCTCCGACGTTTCATGCAAAGAGCAGAGCGCTCCACTTCTAAACAATGTGTAACTCCTTCAAGACTCACTGGGAGATTAAATAAAGGAGGATTGAAGGAGAAGGCTCCTGACAGCAGCTCCACATTAAGGTGGAGGGAAGAGGAGGAAATGAAAATGAAATACAGGAGGTCACACATTATTGACATAAGTGGCACTGCCCTGTTTTCATTGGCTACAGCTCCTGCTGGCCCATATGTTTCTCCTTTAGCGTTGGGGAAATTGGGCCAGCACATACGTCGGTCAGAGTATTAAACCCCTCCCTTCTCCCAATAAACCTGTGGCATGTTTTCCTTGTCCATTTTTCTTTGGGGGAAGGGGGCTGTTCAATCGCCCGTGGATGTCACAGTTGGCTTTCAATCACAGGAACGCCCTAAAGAGGCTCTCTGCTGTCAGGCACCGGGTCAAAGCCCTGCATCTGGGACACATAAAATGCTAACGAGTGCTAACTCAACAAAAGCAACCATAGCAAACAATATGCTCTAAGATGTTCTCTTCTCTTTTTTTTTCTTTTTATACTAAATCCTTCCTATTAAAGCTATTTTTTTTGGCTAAGCATTTAGTTTACCTAAGTCAGCTACTGTATTTTAGGGTTAATTATTATACTGTTTTCTGTCTTGCTGTTGTCTAATCAAACAGTAATATTATCACTGACTTTTGTTGCCAAAGCATTCCTTTACTTATCATTAACCTATTGATAGGGCATTTATTGACAGGAAATTTGTAGATTTAGTTGTTAAATCTTTGTTAAAGCTTTTCCCTTTTCAAATTTGTATCAGTGTTGCTAAAAGTTGTGGTATTAATTTGTGCTTGTAGTTATAAAGGCTGAACTACATTTTACTCTTTTGTTGATTTAAATTGTTTTGTGGTTAGCTTTTAGTAAGCTACTTTGTTAAGGTAAATGTTTTGTTGCTCCTTTTCAACAGCTTGACCATCATGTATTGCATTAGAAGCAGTTGACTCTTCACATTATATATCTCTCGGTGACCAAAGTGAATTAAGAGTCATCATATATCCTTCATGTTGCCTTCTTCCAAATTAAATGAGACCCTGGGTCATGACATTTCCCTGCTATCATGTGTATGAGCCCCAGTGTTTCAGACCTGGTCACAGCTGAAATGATTGGCAGCCACGTCGACCTGGAGGGCAAAAGGTCAGGAAGGGAGTTACAAAGGTCAGACTGGGAGGCAGAGGGGTCGGCATCAAACAGCATGTACTCAGTCAAGCTCAACAAACTGAGCTGAAAATTAAATTTAAAAACCATAGTCCCCTTTCATTTTTGTGTTGTACTGCGTTGGCCTCAAACTGAGTGTAACGGTAAGAGTGTAATACTGTAGTCAGGCATTCAAATACCCTCAAAGCAGAAAACACCACAAGTGTGACCCCTGACTGTCTGTAAATTGAGATCATTGGCTGACTTGTCCTTGTGGTTTAGTACACACAAGGGTTAGGGTTGGAGTTGGACTTATTATAATTCACTTTGAGATGAATATAATCTTCATCTCCAAATTCTCAAAACAGTTCATGTTTACTTTATTACTTAAGAGTTTGGTTTATATTTCTATTTGAATCTAACTCTTCTGTTAATTCCACCATATTCATATAGAAATATAAATGTTTACCTAAGAATGTCAAGGTTTTTATCAGAACTTATTTATCATTTAGATTTTTTTCCTCATAATTTAACATTCAGCCCTCAATGTATGATGATTTGAATGCTGTATATTAGTAAATATAAATTTCAGGTTATTGTTTTGCCTTTGTAATGTTTTTTTCCTCAAGGGGATTCAAGCTTAGGTCTCATAAATTTTCACTGAAATTATTTAGATTTTTTTTTTTATTTAGAATACTTTTTTGTTTACTCATCAGAATTCAAACTTTTTATTGGAATTGTGGAAATTTTCTGAATTTACACCAGGTAGTAGCAGTAGTAATAATAATAAAACAGTATTCTTAAAAACAATAAAAACAGTAACTTGCCTTTTTTGATCAGTGTTATGTGCAATATCCTTCCGATTTAAGTTATTTTTTTAATTAAAGGAAAAAAGGAAGGTAAAGTAAAGCATATCAAAAAAAATATTTTCCTTCTATATTATTAATTGTTTATCCATTTCCCAGGACTTTCAATTGTTGTGTTCTTATGTTAAAGATGTGGACACGGTGCAGCCTGCCGGTCACTCTCCTCTCCTCCACACTACATTGATGCCAGGGAAATATGACATGAAAAAGAATTGCATGTTTATTTTTATTCATTTATTTAAAAGAGGCAGAACGCAGGGGGCGAAGGTCGCTGTGCAGACGTTTGTTGCTGTGAGATTCTAATCCAAAGCCTCTGGCGAATCTCCGCATGAACTCCATTTCTGCTCTACAAACAAATTAGTTTTTTTTCTCTCCAACTATCTCTGTGTCTCTCGCCCTCTCTCTATTTAATCTCCCTCTCCAGTGAAAATACAGGAGGGAAATTCAGATGAATAAAATCTTTTTTTTTCCATTTAACTCCTTAACTCTTAACTTACAACTGGCTTTTTTTTTCTCTGCACAAAGACCTCTTTTTTCCCTGCGTGCACAATTCATTAGGCAACAGTTGTTTAATCTGTATCATTAGAACGCCACGTTTCCCCGGCAATGTGGCACTTGGCTAAATCAGATCTAGACAAAGTTATTTTCTCAACTGAGCTCAAACTGTGCGGCTGGTTAACACACGTTCTGCACTGAAACAAGTGAATGAAAACAAACAATGAAAAAAAGTAATGTGAAAATGTGGCTTTTAATATGGTAGCATTACCTCAAGTGTTATTACGCTTCTTCTGTGTCCCTTGTTTTGATTACGCAACAAATGTTTGACTATCCAAGTGATATTTGCATGAATATTTATACCAATTTATTTGTTGAGTGTTGACTGTAATTACATAGAAACGTGATTTATTGCCAAGGAATACAGTGTTAGCCAGCCCGAGAAGAGAGAGAGAGAAAAGCTGAACCAAGAAGGAATAAATGCAAATTTGTCCGTCACATACAGAGTGAGAGGAAAGCTAGAAAAAGCTGATTTGAGTAAGATCACACTATCAGACAGCAAATCTTTCAGTGTCAGCATTTGGCAGAGAGTGAAAGTGACAAAATTTGAGATTGACCTCTCTGAGGCAACCTGTCTACGCCTTGCTGATATAGTCCCAAAGATGCAGACGTATGCTGGCGAATACCAAACACCAAAAGAGCTTGATGTTGGGTTTTTGATCACTGGCTCCGACAAGATACGGATAATTGTGCAAATTGAAGATGCGGTGACTAATCCCAGCAGCTCACAACCGATTTTTTACATCATCCGAGGCGAGGCGAGCATGGGGGTGGGTAGAGAATGGAAGGATGAGGGAGCAAGAAGGAGAAAATGTTTGAGTAATGGCCTCTGTCCCATTTAATATTCTCCTGACTGGATGAGAGGAGGTAGAAGAGTGGAGAACAGAGGGTGGAAGCAGATAAAAGGAGATGAGGGGAGGAGGGAGGATGAGGGAACGATGAGGTCTAGGAAGGAAGGACAGTGCAGGAGGAGAATTCTCTCCGTGTTTGTATGTAATTAATGAATGGCATTAAGCTATTCGTTATGCCATTTATTCCGGTAATGACCAAGTCTGGGCCTTTCATTCCTGAGCTGCTGCTCTCTGTGCTGTTACCATCCTTAAAGACTCAGAGTAAAAGGACTGAGAGACATAGAGAGAGGAAAGGAAACAGACCCAAACGGCTTCAGTGAAATGCCCCATTGCTTAACACAAGACACTGGTCAGTTACCAGCAATGGCAAATGTCAACAGTGTGAAAACTGTGCAGTCCATGCAGCTAGGTGCATTACAACATTATAGTGTTTTCTTATGCACTACTTGAGGTTTCGGCACATTGAGCAGTTTCCTCTATCTTTTAACTCACTTCTTTTAAATAAAGTGGAGGTCCCCTTTTTCCCCTGTTCTCTTCTACCACCCCTGACCTGACCTGAACCCTGTCTGACCTCCAGAGGACCCAGCTCCCTAGATAACTTCTAAAATTCTAAGAACCACTCCCTTTGATAGTGACCCCCGGCCGTTTGGTTTCTCTTGTAGCCGTTTCGCCGAGTGACCTTCTCGGTGGTGAGCCAGCCCCAGGACCCTCATCAGCAGGGATCGCTGCAGAGCTGCTACGACAGTGGCCTTGACGAGTCGGAGACACCCAGCAGCAAGAGTTCATCGGGGCCCCGGCTGGGCGCCCTCCCCCTGCCCGAGGACAGCTACGAGAGGACAACGCCGGATGGCAGTGTCGGTGAGGCAGAGCACATGGAAAATGGTAGGGGCAAACACTGAAAGGAGATCTAGATAAAACCGCTAAGATAGAGGGAGACACACATGCACACACTGGGCCAGAGCAACCATCTAGTAAGTCCTAGAGTAGACAGGTTCACATACAGGCAGAAACAAAACGCTCCTCCTGTTAGGTTTTGTATTTTCCCTTTCTTCTTGAGAACTTTTTAGGGACGGTTTTTACTCTGTAGTTAAAGGTTAGATTATATCTGGTGTTTAACATGTAATCCAACTTGCATTAAAGATAGTCAGTGGTCCACACTGTGGAGCCCAGATGCAACCCCTCAAGCAATATAATTCATACTGGTCAACAAAAATAAAGTTGTGTGGCCCACCACTGGATCCAGACAAACTTTGCTTTGCAGGATTCTTTTTAAATCTCTAAAACCCTCGTCATTTTTAGTCTACAAACATTTTTGGACATTTTTCAGATTCCCCTTGACTTCAAGTTGGCATTAACAAAAGCAGGTTATCTGAGGATACATTTCTCAGCAATACCCCCTTGTACCATATATGATTTTAGGCAACTGAAGTAAAAAGTGTGTAGCAGTGGGATAATACTAATACTCGGCATCTGTAGATTAAAATAAGCTACGTGGACAGAAGCCTGCTGATTTGCAACACAATTTGGACCAAGAAGCTTGTTTTTGTCTTATAACCAATGTTCTGTAGCCTGGAATACTGAGCAGCTGCAGCCTAGAGGGACTGAGTGGGATCATTTGAGTAGAAACCTATTGTAAAGTCTCTTGGTATTGGATTGGAACTTCCCTTTGCAAAAACATACCAAAAGAAATGTTTGTGTGTGTGTGTGTGTGTGTGTGTGGGGGGGGGGGGGTGGTGGGGGGCGGTGGGGTGTGTGTGGGGGTGGGGGGGGGGGGGTACTGTGCGAAACGTGTGTTTGTGTGTGTATGCAAAGATAGGTAATGGTCCTGTTCATAGTCTGAATAGTCTGATGCCTAATAAGGAGCTGTCTTGAGAGCACTAAGTGCAGAGAATCTCCCCTTGCAGATTAGGATAAGGACATTTAAATGGGTTAAGAGACTCAAATCCTCTTGTTTCAGATGGAGCTGCTTGATGAATAATGTCCTTATGTAATTAGTGTACACACTAATCTTCTACTTTGCCTACTGTGGGCCAGGGAAGTGCAAAAAAATGACCCCATGAAGGAGATGGTTGTACGACCAGACCCGAGTGTGCATCACGATTGGACACAAGGTGTCCAATCGTGACCTTGTCTTGAATATTGCAGCCCTAATGCAGATTAAAAGGGATTTGGGGATTATATAAAATCTATCTAATTAAAAAGGCACCAAATATGTGGCTCAGAAGACTCATTTCAGGCTGCTGTGTGTTTAAAGTAATTGGGTAAGGGGCCACCAATGGTACACAATCTGAGACTAAAAAGTGAAAATGATTAAGCTGTCTAGCAAATGTACAGCGCAACAAAAGCAGCATAAAAAAGGGAAACATTAGGGAGCAGAGGGGCTCAGGCCTCGTAAAATCTTGTCAGATTTTAAATACTTTGCTCTCTGGAACGTCCATCCAAAACATACAGTACAGCAGGATACTATATATACTGGTCAATTCTGGGTTACTGCCCTGTGCACATGTGTTGTTAATCGTCCAGTAGAGTACATTTTTGAGAAAAAAACAAAACAAGGTCACTTCTACAATCAGCCTCTGTTTGTCCAAAAGAAACAGATCGTTCTCCTGCTGCTGCTCCTTATCTGTGTTGGGATCTGCTGAACTCTGTGTGTGCGTGAGTGTGAAAAATTGAAAGGAGTGTACCTAAGGGTGAGGCTGCATTGTTGAAAATATTGTCTTAATCAATGTTAGTTTCCAAAGTCTACACTTTCCGTGAACCTTTAAACCATTCCGAGGTCTTGGTGTTTGCTTTTTGAGGCTAGGAGGTGCTATAAAGAGCAATTTTGGTTGGAGTAAGGTTGGCTTTATGGTATGATGGGATAAAAAGAGTCCAGGCTCCTACCCCAGAATAACAGGACGCTGTATTTTATCTGTTGTCGTGTCCTTGATCTGGGCACTGAGGCCCTGCACTCTTGGTCGATGTGAGTAAGAACCTCATCTAAATACCTAAGTGTAAAGGAATTGCAATCATGTAAGGTCAGGGCAAATATTGGCAAACTGCTCAGGGGTCTCTTTAGGGACGCTAAATACAGTCATTAGCGCTCCCTCTTGCGCTGCAGCCAGAGAACAAACTGTACGGAACTAAAAAAAATCGTCCACAGCTGCTGCACTGGCTCTATACGAAGCATTGGCTCTTGTAGAAGATTACAGTTATGAGAGAAGCGGGAACAGTAAAGTTAGCAGATGGCTTGCTGCAGCTGGGGCGTTGCTCGGTGCTAGCCTGGGCATCATTAGCGACAGGTAATATAGACATTTATGTGTGTAATGTGACAATGATTTCGTAGTGGGAGTCTGGCTATTTTAGAGCCACCAGGGGGCTTTGCAGAAAGAGGATGCAGGAGGATGAGATGAGATGTGTTTAAGTTTGCAGCAGTCAGCCTGATTATCACTTTGACAGGTTTCAAATAGATGGGTTTTAATTTTGCTTGGCAGCCATTATTCAGTGTTGATGATGTTGTCTTGTCACAGGAGTCACTGTCACAGACAAAGGCTAACGTCTCCTTTGTGGTTGTGTGATTTCTCCGGCTGTGACTGGTTAGTCATCAATCGATGTTGACCACAATGTGCAGGGAAAAATTGTCTTTGTCCACAGCTGCACACGTGTCCAACCTTGACTCTAGCCGCTTCTTCTCAATGTCGATTTTCTACATCTATTTTCCATCTATCTTTTGGTTAACCTTTTATCATGGGCTGTACAGAAATTAAAGCAAAACTCAGAAAGCCATTGGGTTTCAAAACCTACTCTAAACACTAAATTAAAGAATATCAAAAAATATTCCTGACCAACAAAAACGGTTTTACCTTCAGAGCACCTTTGCCCATGTTCACATCAATCAGCTGCTGTTTTATCAGAAATACAGACTTTAAAACAATACACTGAGGAGACTTAAAACTGAGTTTTACTGCATGTATATGAAACTATTTTGAAGAAAGAAAGCTGCTACAAATATGTAATTTAGTACATTGGTACATATTTGTTTGAAAAAAAAAAATCAGTAGCTTCTAAATAGATTCCAGCAGTTGTTCTACATTTTTCTTGACACACAAACAGTAGACTTTAAAGTGAGGCTATAATTAGAAAAAATATTTTCATCAAATCTCTCATAGCAAGAGAAAAACTAGACTACTAGTGGTGGCAGAGTCCTTCTTTGGAAGCTTTTGTCTTTAGCTAGAACTGCTGACCAGTCCATGTGGAACATTTTTGATTTAAGCTATATCCTCATGCTAACACATCTTCTCGTTTCAATGGGTTAAGGTTACATACAAGAAAACGTGTTGCTGACATTTCCACCAGGTTTACAAGGTCCTACAAAAGTGCTGCACATTGATATGACTCTTGTACAATATTGCATGAAGTCTTAATCTAATTGAGGCCCAGCTGGGCCCCTCACTTATTCATAACCATACTTCAGCGTTCATCTTATATTCATAAACACTGAGCGTTTGGAGTCAACCGCCTGTTACACAGAGGAGGCAAGGTTCCCATCCAGAAGCAGGAAAACAGTCAGAGGGTCAGAGACTCCTGTTCCGTTATTTCTCTCAGCACTACTGTTGGTGTGTGAGTGTCTGTCTGCATGTGTGTTTTTTCCTGTTCGTTCAAGCCCACCTTAAAAGATCATGCTTCCGCTCTGCCCTTTCATCACAAGTGAATTGTGTTGGGGTGAAAAGTGTTACGGTGTTAAAACCTCCGCAGGAACCTGCAGTGCTCGCGGCACTGAAGATGTAATATTGTCAGGAGCATCAGTTCAGCTTTGTGATGTGCCGTAGGTCACGATTTGATCTACTGCATGAGATGTTTTACTGCTTTTTTTTAATTTTTCTTTTTATCAAAAATGAAAATTCGTGGCTGTAACCTTGTTGAATAAACATTAGCATTAGAGGCTGTGGAACTCTTAGGTAAATTGAGAGAATTTATTTTTCAACACAGATGATCTCAGGAAAGAAAAATAATTTTTCTCCACATTTGTCATGGAATAAACGTTCCATGTGAATATCACCTCACTGGAGGAGGATACACACATTCTCATCTTTTTATTTATCATTTCGCAGCTGAAAATTAGAGCCGAGCATCTCATGGAGGCCGTTGCCCAATTTTGTTGATGCTGCCTACTTGGACAGATGAATATTGCAAATTTATGGCTGCCATGCTTCTATTACTTTGGCTGCTGGACAGCAGGCACACAACACAGATAGCCAGAATAAAAGATCGGCTCACACAACCACACAGAATTGTGGTTATCGTCCCTGACAACGTCCAAATGTACCCACAGACAGCACAGAGTGTAGGAAGGAAATGGTTTAGCAGGTACATATGTACTAATCTGATATATTCAAATGCCAGAAAATCAACTAATTCATCCTTCTGTAAAAAAGAGAGTATTTTAAGTCTCCAAATTTAGGCAGAAACCTACAGAATATCTCAACTTTAGCATGTACTTGGTTCTTCAAACAATGTTCTGTAAAAACTGGGAGGACTGCAGTTTCAGAACATGCTAAAGATTAGAGAGAAATATAGGACAACGACTTGAGTTAAGGAACAAAGCCAAATGAAAACAATTGACTTTTAATACAGAATTAGGAATAAAAAACCAAAAATATGTAATATGTATTAATACATGAAAAAGAAAATTAAGAAAGTGAATTTCAGTTAATGAGCTTAACATTTTATAAATAATAACATGATTAAATCTAACTAATACTTCAGACACAAAATTACCATGAAAGCAAATGTTTTAGACAAACTTAAACCTGACCTTAGTTAAGCAAAAGCTGCGACTTAGAACAGTTTACAAAATACGGAAAGGATACAAATAAATCCTGCATGTGTGCAATGTTTTGGCCCCCAAACCAGACTTTGGACATGCTTAGTTCATCACATAAAGCAGCTTTACCATGGTTTGGCTTGGTGAGCTATCTCAGCACATCACTCTGATGTTGTTGTTGTTTCTCCCTGTTTCCCCAGAGTTTCAGCCGTCGGAATCCCTGCTTTGCTTAGGCAGGCTAATAACGTGTGGGTGTGTGTGTGCATATGTGTGTGTTTCTACGTGATACTCTGTTCATTAGGCGTGAGCCCGATTGTGGGGCCAGATGGCAAAGCGAGTTTGTTTAATTAAAACCATTCATATTTCAAGAGCCGTGCAGCAGCAGACGCAGCAGAAACAGAAACAGAAGCAGCAGCAGCAGAAGAAGAAGAAGAAGAAAAAGAAGCACAAGTTTGATTTCCCTCAACTCGCTGCAGAGAATAGTGTGTGTGTGTTTTTGCCCGTGTGCAGCTATGACTACAGGGAGGCTGCATATGTGCTCCTCTACCAGTTTGGTATTCTGTGTGTATCTTTAATCTGTTTCCATCTGTCCTGTCTCACCCCTCGTCCCCTCATTTCCGCCCGTGACATCTGCAAGCAACGTGACGGCAAGTGGAGATCGAAAGGAACAAAACAGAACTAAAGTGAATACATAGAACAATCACGGCCACAGGAGTGTAAATATACACTAAAAAGGCTCTAGGAGAACAGTGAAGGGTGGGTGGAAGTGGTGGTGGTGGAGGCGGCATGCCTGCATAAATACATGCATGTGTGGAGAAGGTGCCAGCAGGGAGTGGCCGTTGACGGAGTGATGATTGATCACTGCTCAGCCCTAGCAGGCAGGTATTTAAATCCCACCCGGTGTCACATCCACACCCCTTCTCCAATCTACACCCTTTACCCCCTCCATGTTTCTGCCCGCTTAGTTCTCCACGTGGGTGAACATAAACTTGTAGAGGAGGCCACCCAGCGCTAACAGCTGTTAGGAAAGTAGCACACTGAAAGAATTATAAATGAGCAGATGTCCATAATAGAACAGGAGAACATTAGGAGAAAGCATATTTTTGCACTATTTTGTAACCCTTCATTAACCAAGGATATCCAAAATAAGGATTAAGGGCCAAATGTGGTACAGGAAAAGATCTAGACCAACAAATAGTTCCCACTTAGCCTTTTTTGCTAAAAAAAATGAGCTTTTCTATTTTCTTTGCTCTGAACTGAATTTTAGTCTTTGACTAAATTGTCATTTACTTTGGGTACTTTTAGCCCTTTATAGATTGTTTTATGTCACATTGAGAATACTACTGCTGACTCTTAACTATGTCTACTGTAATCTTTTGTTAAATAAAGGCCGGATAAGTAGTAAAAACCTCCTTATGTACCATTTTTGGCACAGTTTTGCTTATTTAGGCGCCATATCTAAAAATCTTAAACCTCTCATTAATTGTGGCATTTTTATTTAGGGGCATTTAAACTCTTTCACCTTTCTTTCTCCAAAAATAGTCCTTGTTCCTGTTGAAGTCCAATCCCTGGATTTCAGATCTAGCGGGGACAGGCATTCCAGCCTGCCTTCATACTCTGCGTGCATGCAAAAAAGGCTTAAGAGTGAGATATCGGTTCCATGTGGTCCCTATTAAAATTGAAATAAAATAAATAATTTCTAGAAAAGATAAATCTCTGTGGTTTTGAGATGAAGCAGGAAAATATTTTTGCCTCTGAAATTTGAGCTTTTAAAATTATTCTTTGAATGTTGTCTCCTTGGGATAGAAACAAAGATGAGATAAAGAACCAAAATGTTCTCTGTTTCAACCCGTAAAACATTTTTGTTGAGATTCAGAGGCGCAGCTGATAATGTTAAAAAGCCAAAATTTAAAGAGATGATGAAGAAAAGCTCAATGTTTTACCATTGCACTGCAGAGACGTGACTGTATTTTCAAGCAGGCCTACAGTCATGTGTGTTCTGTGGCTTTTTGAGGTGCAGTGAAGCAGCGATGAACAATTTGGCTGGTGCCCAAATGGCAATGGGCATTTGTTATGTTGAGAATTAAATCATTTTCTGTGACAGATGTTAATTTGGATAGCACCTTTTCTTTTTATCCATATTGTAGTTTTCCTCCCCCCTATCCCTTGCTCCCATCTCTTATGATATAATCATTCCTTGGCTGCAGTTTAGGTGTCAGGTGTAGCATATCAGGGAGGATCTAGTGGGGTGGTTTTCAATGAAGACAATTAAACACCCCCTAGGCATCGAGCCAATACCTCCTGCCTGCAAACCCTTCCGTCCTTCTGTCCCTACTTTCCTCCCAGACCCTCTGTCTTCTGCTTGTTTTCCCTTTTTCCTTAAATCTGACTCTTGTACGGCAATGATTCCATGGTTTTTCATGAAGAGGACCAGGTTAAATTACATTACATTACATTTCCTGGTACATGCTGAAACATCAGGTGTTCTGCAATTGAAAGCAGCGGGTGCCATGTTGTTCCCACAGCGAGGTCCTTAGCTCAAGATGGGCAAACAACTACATCCGCAGTCTACTTATTTATTTCTACATGCTCTGATTCCCAAAACAGGACAGAGTGTCCAGAGAAGACAGCACACCAAGGGACAGGTGTGTGTAACCGTGTTGTACGTGTGCATGCATATGTTGCCAAGCACACAGCAGGATCCTATCTGCGAGGAACACTGTTGAGCTACCAAGAATAAATGCATTATTCTGCTCTCTTTTTATTTCTATTATTTTCACACTTCAGGGAATATGTTGCAAAACATAAGCAAACAGAAAATTTGAAAAACACATTCAGGTGTTCACACATTCTGTAAAGCCCACACCCTAGCTGGGCCCACTCATGCATTCATTCATGTGTCGGTCCAAACGCTGCAGACCTAATGCAAAAACACCAGAGTCCCCCACTTCCCCCAGTTCTCCCTCCCCCTTGCTCTGTCTCACAGTTAAGGCACATACAAGAATCCACACATGCCTAACAACTCTGTTGGAACACGGTCTTTCCACACGTCGGAGAAGAAATGACAATTTAATTCAGCCGACAAGCAACACTGGCCATCAAACTCATTGCATTTGATGTGATAGCTGATGGTTCAGGAAAAAGCACAAATGTTGGAAGTTTTCAGCCAAAACCAATGGAATTAACTAGAACCAGATGTAATCTGCTTAAAGACAGACTACAGGCTGTAAATGTGACTTCATTTTCGGGGAGACAAGCCAAAGTTGCTACAATTGATCCAGGATTTATGTTTCTAAAGCTGGTCTCAGACATGATCCTGCAGGGAGGAATGGGCTCAGACATTTTGACACTAAAATGAAACATTTTCATTTCATCTCAGACAGGACTTGGACATTTTGCATAATTTGTTTTCCTGTTTTAATGTTTATCTAGCCTGTAAATATCAATATTGTCACTCTACATGGTTCCACAGTAAATAAATGTAAAGCTATCAACTGATGCAATATCAAAAACATCAGCAGCTTTATTTACAAATGATAATGAACACACACCAACATTTGTTCTGTGGACCTAGCCCACTCGTCAAACAGGACCAGTGGCCAGTGAGCATTCAGTGTACTAAACTAAGCACAGGTGTTGGTACAAATTTGGACAAAAGCACAGAAAAAAAAAAAGAAAATCAGCCATCGAACTAGTAACTACACCCATACTGCATACAGTTTCTGGCTGGAACATTTTCCTAAATATTGAAACACAACAAACTATAAATGTCTCCTTTACAATTTGTACAAGAGCTCGCTTTGCCAAACCTCTGCCATCATGGCTAAACTGTTAACTGCCATTTCGTCTAGTCCGATTCAGCCAGCAGTTGAAGTCTTTGCAGCTACTAATTCATAGCAATTAGGTTGTATTATTTAGAAATGTGACATTGCCTTCGTTTTAAATTGGAGTTATTTGATGACTCAGAGGCAGAGATAAATGCCGTGAGACTGCTGCGAGAATGTCAAAATATTTGCTGGCCTGCCTGTGTTGTGTTGCGTGGGATACATGGAGAGTGCAGTAATTGCTGCTTGTACTGTAAGATGTCCCTGCAGTGCAGCTTGTGTAAGCTGCACTGTAGAGCTATAGAGTTAAAGTCACTGACATTTAAACACATGATTTGATTTCATTATTAGCAATGATGATGGGAAATAGGAATAAAGATATAGGTGAAAACAGTACTATAGATGAATGGACAAATAATATATAGATCTGAGGAGAGGCAGAAAAGTACTTCAATGTGGTGCAACACAATAGTAGTGAAGCAATCCACTACTATGTTGTATTTTTAATATAGCATAGATATTGAATTATTTTTACACTTTGTCTTTTCTACTGAGTTGGCCTGTGTTTCGTTTTGTGACAATTTCCTGTTTAGCCCTCATCTTTAGAAATTGTTAATTATTAGCTATTCAGGAAAATACTGTTTTTGTTATATTTTGGGTATTTTTTTTTTATTTTCCCTTCTCCTAATTAAGCTTCTGTTTTGCTCATTTTCTGTTATTTTTGCTTTATCTCTGGTTCTCACAGAAGAAGGAAGCCAAAATAGATTTTGTTTTTTCTTGTGTCCAATGCAGACTTAATGTATTTTTTAGTATTATTTCTTACTTCTCCTCTCTTTTTTAAGCAAAGGTCCATTTAGTCCATCACAGCAGTTTCCCTGGTGACTGCGAGGCGAGAACTTCACATTATGGTCAGCATTAGTGGCATAAATGTTTTATGAGGCCTGAGAGCACAAACTACTCAAGACACACAAACGCCAAGCCTTTCTTATAGCTATGAAACTGGTCTTGTGGTGTGCATGAACTCTATGTATTTGTGTGTATCAAGTGCACGGGATTGTGTGTAGTATGTTGTGTGTGTACGTGTGTTGCTAATATTTGCACTCACCCTTCTCCCTCCTGAGTGCGAAGCTGTTTCCTTATGCATTGTTGACCCATTTAAAAAGACTGCAGCACATTTTCCCCATTGTGCTTCCGCTCTTATCTTTCACACCACAGATTTGCTTCATTCTCATGCATTTCTGAGAAGCACCTGCAAAAAGAAACACAAGGAAAAAAGAACCTTTGGATTATTGAGAAGAAGAAAGGAGAAAGAAGAAATTTACGATTAAAATGTTTAAGATTTATAGTAAAGTATATTTATCTATATAACTATATACAGTTTGTAGTCATTACGATTCTTCAAAGAAGTACCATTGGGAACACCAGGTGACCAATATGATATAAGTCCAAATATTTTCCCAACCGTTGAACTATTAAACAGTTAACTGAAAAAACAAACAACAACAAAAAAACAACAACAAAAAAAAAAAAAAAACATGTAGTTTGACTAGGTGGGAAGATGTTAACCAAAACAGTAACAAAACTGCTAAAATACATGTGTAACAAACAACTATAAAGTAAATAAAAAATATCTTGGCTAATCTCAAAATTTCAGCAAAAGTAATTAGTGGTCTTTTAATATATAATCTATCAATCAAAATAAAAAAATATAATAAGTGAATAAATGATAGTTGTTACTGATAATGGCTTGAAACTTAATAAGGAATGTATAAATATATAGCACACTAGAGATGCAAGATTACAGTAAAAAAGGCAAAGGAAAAAAAATTCAAAACTTAGTGAAGACTAACATTGGTGTGTAAATAATGTTTGGCCCGAGGGCCACACTTTTGACACTACCACTTTACTACAAGACATTGTTTTTTTTTTTTCTATACCTTGCCCCAAAACAGAAACTCTCCTTAGTCCTCCATTTTTTCATCACTCTTTCAGCACCTCCTCCCTCTTCTTGGATTTTTATTTGGAATGAAATGCCGTCATCACGGCTGCAGTCAACACATTACTGCCTTTGGACGTGAAATAAAACAAGCTGCTGACAGCTGGGGAATTATTTAGGGGAGGCAACACAAGCCATCTCTCCTCACGCTGCGATGAATATGCATTTGCGGCCGGTAATTTAAGTGCCACGTCAACCTCAGCCCTGAACGTGACAAATTTCACCCCACTTTATTTCCATCACTGTGATTTTCGGGGCTCCACCCTTCAACAATGTTTGCCATTTGGACGCACCTGGTTGTGGAAGCAGAGAGGCGTTCATGCACATAGGCCACATCAGACAGCTGTGAATTATTTTTGCTTTTTTATTTTAAAGCTAACTCTGTACTGGATTTGTATGTTGATGACAACCATATCTATATGTAGGTAATTAGGCTAACCTTTAGCTTAACCACAGTTAACTCTTAGTTATTTTTATAGCTAATTTTGCAATTTATTTTGCTAATTTTGGCTGTGCTTAATTTGAGATATTGTTGACTAAATCCTAGTTCAGTAAGTCAATCACTAGGGTCACAGGGTTTTATAGCTGGATCTAACTCCAGTATTAAATTATTTTTTTAAAAATTTGCCCTATGTGAATTGACCAACTTAACATCTGCTGATTCTATCTTAAACTTTTCTACATTTTTTTTACTAATGCTCAATTATTAGCCAGAGATATATTTTTGAATAATTTTTACTCGGTTTTGATTAGTATTTTACATTGTCTCTTTCCCCCCAGATATTTGGCTTTTTTTCCAGGCTGGTATAATATCATTAAAGCCAACATAGAGCCAGCTCAGGGCACATTCCAACCTCCCTCCAGGTGCGAATTGTTTTGCCCTGTTATTCTTCCAACCTCTAGGCCTCAAAACAAGGAGCTGGAAATCCCTGCTTTTGTGTGTCAAACAGCGTGACAGCTGCCTTTTCTAAACCTAGAAAATACTGCAATCACTTGACAAAAGGCTGCGGCTCATCTTTGCACGCCTGCGTCTCTGCACTGAGCGTAAACTTCCTCCCTAGGCACAAGGCAGGATGATGATGATGATGAACGCCACAGTGGCAGTCAAAAAAAAAAGAGCCTCCGCTCCTCAAACCACAACAGAAAATCACCCCAGAGTCAAAATACATCAGTGAGACACAATTGCAGCCAAGTAAGTCGACACAGGGACCAAACAATGGAAGGTAATTGTGCTGAGGATTTGATGAAAGGGAGGCAGGTGAGCTGTTTTTTTTTTTTTTTTCCTCTCCCTCAGTGTTTTTTACTAAACGATTAAGTCATTGAACAAATGTGCCGCAGGGCACACCTGTTTCTCCGCATTTGTGACAAAGTGCGTGACTCTTATCTCTTTTTTTTTCTGTCTGCGCTTGTGTTTGTGTGTGTCTGTGTGTGTGTGCTTCCTGCTCTTTTGTTTGCTGTCCCGCCAGCAGACTAATGGCTACCTTGAAGGCTAAAACAATAGCATTTATCTTGTCTGCAGCTCACTCTTAGGAACATCACTTTGCTCCAGGACCGGAGAGGTTGTGAAACTGTACAGTCAGAACAATTCACCTGCACACTGTCGTTGTTTAGGACACAGTTTTGAACATAAGAAGAATAAGGAACTGTTTTGCCTTTAAAATTGCATCCATTGGCTGTTCTGAACTGTTAAACATTAGATAAAGTTTTATTACAAATTAAGACCATTTTTAGGATTATGTTGTTAATAATTACTTATTTTGTAAGTCCATGGCTAAATCATTGATTTAAAGTCAGCTTTTTCTGGTATATTTCAGGTGTCTATGTCCCTAGCAGTCTTTTAATGGTAAACTTTTCAAGGTATTGTTGCTACTTCCAAGAAAACTGCTTTCCTGTCATCTGTTGTTTTGGGTTTTTTTAACTAGTTCAGCTATTAATGTATGAAATTATACTTCTAATTTAATGTTTTTGTTTTGCTTTTAAATTATATTTTAAAATCTCAAGATCTCACCAGTTACCCTAAAGTTAGCATTTTAAGGCTAACATTAAAAAGCCCAAGTTAGATTTCAACTATTTTTGGTTTACTTCCTTTTACTTCCTTTTTTAATCTTAGATTTTGTTCAGAAGAGAGAAACATTACAGAAACACAGGAACAACAGCAGGAAGACACAGAAATGATGGCTACATATGTTTGTTCCGATTTCACTAATCATCTGACAGAAAGGGAACATCCTAATCCAGATGAAGCATCAGCAAATCCACTCAGGATGCCAACGTACACACTCGCTCGTCAGCCCACACATTAATCCATACCGTACGAACTGCATTGTAGCAGAATGAAACACGCACACACAAATATAAATACAGAGAAACAAAAGAAAATCTCAGTTTCTGTGATAACTGCTCTAAGTTCAAGCTTTTGGCAGATTAAGTGAACAATGTATTATCTAACCTTCTCATTCTGTGTGTGTGTGTGTGTAATATTGTATTTTCTGTTTTCTTCAGATATGGCATCAAAAATGGTGAAAAAAGCACTTGGAAAATTTCTCTCAGATTTTTTATTTTATTTAGGAATTTGGTCATATTTCAGCTCATTTGTGCCAATTAATAATTTAACATTATTTCTTTTACAAAAAAACTATTCAGGTTAACTTTCATGTTCTCCATATTTCGAAAGATTTCTGGCATATTTATGGTTAGATGTTGCCATTCTGTGCAATTCATTTCTTATGTGTTTGTTGAAACTCGAATGAATTGTCCAAATATTTTTAAAAAATGTGATTTTTTCCCCTTAGTTTGAGGCCACATTTTACTGAATTCTAAATTTATTTCAAATACTGTTTCTTTTGTATGCTGACTGAAAATTGTGATATTCATTAGAATACACCTTAAATGTGGCGTTAAACACCAGAGGGAGGGCCTGTACAAAATGTTCTGTTTCTGAAACAAGAGCGATGACGACCTTTAACACATCAAAACGCTGCAGTGTATATATTTCCCCTATAAGGTCTTTTGCTCCTCCGTGGGGAGATGGGCAGTGACGTCAGACTAATAATAGAAGCAAATGGTATAAAAATATAAAGCACAATAAATCAACTTTCATTGACAGCCAGCAAAGACAGAAGAGAAGAGAGGTAAACAGTGGCTCCGTGACCTCACGCTGCCAATGTCAAATGACGGGTATGGGAACATAAATCGTCCTAATCTCTGGGGAAGTGCAGATGACACACGCACACCCACACACTGTGCGGTATGTGCACTTTCTCTTAAAGTATATGCGTAAACACAAAACCATCACCTTGAACAGAAACTTCCAGAATCTGTATCTAAATTGTTCATTTTTTTAATGGAAAAGAAAATCATCTACTGCTTTTAAAAACTCAGACGACTTCAGGATTATGTGCATAATCCAAATCTAAAGCAAACCGGGATTAAAAACATGAAAAACAGATGGTTTTGGGGTAAAAAAAAACCTCTTTGCAGATATTTCTTGATTGTTTGAACCATTTTTTTCTGCTCCTTCCTCCCTCACTGTTGTGGTTATTATTGTTGCTACAGTTTTGGTGATTTGGTTTCAGCTTTATCGCCACTTTCATTTGCATCAAAAGTCTTAATCCAACGATTTAGGGCTTGTGCACGAGATATAATCCCAATCTGCACTCGTAAAGACGGTAGTGGTGAATACTCTGGTGTTCTTTGGCTGAACTCTGCACTGGGACAAAGCAATCTGTTTATAAAGAGAGGTTTTATTCCTTCTTTTAGGGAGGAGGATGTGCCGTGGTTTAGGATGCAAATCGTCTGCAGAGAGAGGTGAGAGTAATACAGTGCAACTGTGAATAAACAGATTTTTTCATCTTTCTCTTTTCTGCATAGAGATTGGGGAGAATAAAAGGCAGTCAGCTCCGTTTTGTGGTTTTGGGCTTTTTTGACAGAAAGCCTCCGAGTGGCAGAGTTTATCCTCTGGCAGAGGCTGAGGGTGGAGGAGAGAGAAAACAGAGACGGAGACGCAGAGGCTGCAAGTGTGTGCAGATGTGATTTTGCTCTGTTCCAAGTTTAGTGGAGAGTCTTGTCTCTATCTTCTGATTAATCATGTATTCAGTGTGTGTGTGTGTGTGTGTTTGTGCGTGGGTTGTGTCATTTCAATATAAAGTGCTGATGATGAGGTAAAATGACCAAAAAGAGAGCACAAAAACTGATGATGAGGTGAAGTACAGATGCAGAATGCACTTGTTTTAATTAAATGTATTGTTCCTCTC